TATTATCCTGTTTTGACATCCCAAAGACAGATAGACTTATCATCATTACCAGAAGTTAATGTATTTCCATCAGGAGAGAAACAGACTGAGTAGACACTATCTATATGAACATATAATTTGGCTTTTTATTATCTTGTTTTGACATCCCATAGACCGATACACGAATCAGCACTACCAGAAGCTAATATATTTCCATCAGGAGAGAAACAGACTGAGTTGATAGAATCACTATGGCCATCTAATTAGTCTTATTATTATCCTGTATTGACATCCCAAAGCCGGATAGAGTAATCATCACTACCAGAAGCTAATGCATTTCCATCAGGAGAGAAACAGACTGAGTTAACTTTATCCTAATGACCATCTAATTTTGCTTTTTATTATCCTGTTTTGACATCCCATAGACGGATAGACTTATCATTACTACCAGAAGCTAAAGTTTTTCCATCATGAGAGATACTAACCGAGAGAACTTAGCCAATATGACCATCTAAATTTGCTCTTTTCTTTCTTGTTTTAGTATCCCATAATATGACAGAGCCATTGTCATATCCAGAAGCTAATGTATTACAATTAGGAGAGAAACAGAGTGAATTGACAGTGCTATTATGACCATCTAATTTAGCTTTTTATTATTCTGTTTTGACATCCCATAAACGGATTTAACAATCACCTCCTTCATATTACCTACCACCTCCAGAAGCTAATGTTTTTCCATCAGGAGAGAAACAAACTGATCTTACATCATCACTATGACTATGTAATTAATTTAATTCATGGATTCTTAAGTCTGTCCATTTACAATTCAATAATAAAGCTCCATTAACATTTATTCCACTTATGTTAACATTATTAAATTAGGATCCACTAAAATTACACCTAACAAAATTTGCTCCTACTAAAGAAGTATTAAAGATTTTTATATTTTCAAAATTGTTGTTTCTAAGACCTACTTTCATCTAAACTAATAAATGTAGTGAATTAGACCCACCCTATATTAGAGTTTAATCAATGGATGTGAGATGAACTAAAAATTACAGAAATTCTATGATCCTTTTATTATCCTGGATTCTATTAATAAGATCTTATATAGATTCTTTTTTTTCTTCATTAGAATAATCTAACTTATTGAAACTATGATCTTTTATCTATTGTAAGACATTAGTAATTAGCTTGATGTTCTTTATAATATCATATAAATGCTATTCATTATCAACTTCCATTAAATTCTCTCCTTGTTGAATGATTTATTATTCCAACTGTTTTTGATTTCCATTATCCGAAAGATATCCAATGCAATCTAAAACTTTCTCTTTTCTAAATATTTTGACTATAACCCCAAAGATTTTTGTATCTACATCTTTTACTGAATCAAAGATGTCAGCGAGAGCTTCTTACTCTTTGGAAGAGCTTGGCATTTTTTTTTATTATTTTTAATATTGAATTTCTATTACTCTAACTTTAAGTTATATACTGCAAAATCTATAAAAATATTCTTGTGTATTTTTGTTAATTAGAAGCTTAGACTTTGTGGTGATTTTGAATTGATTATAGAAGAGGTAGAATATTTTGTAGAGAAATCATTTCAACCCTTTACATAGATTCATTCTTGAATAATTTAGAATATCTTTATATTTAATTTATTATTTAAGTTTCATGATTGATTGATTCATTCTTGTTGATCATCTCTGTTTAAGCATAATTAATGATTTCATTAATAATTTAAATTTGTCTGTTCATTCTTTAAAATACATTTAGATTAGCGAAATCATGAGTAAGAGAGTTAAAGTTAAAAAAGTAGATTTTTTCTAAGTAATAATAAATATGAAAAGTTTTTTCTAATATTTTCTTGAATGACATTCTTCTCTCCCTTTTCCTTCAATAGCATAGGGGTTTGGCTACTCCTTATTTTAGATGAGGTTATAGAGAAGAGAGAAAGTGGATGAGGAGGAGTAAGCTTAAGGAGGAGAAAAATGAGGAATTAAAATTATCTGAAGAATTTTAAAATTCTATTAATTAAGAATGAATTTCTAAATTAAACTATAATAATTTATGGAATAATTGTAGCATTCAATCATGTTTATAAAATGTAGTTTCTATTAATAAAGGATAACAAAATATTCATAAAGCTTTATTATTAAAAGTTATTGAAAAAATTGAAAATTATTGAATAATCAATTAACTATAATTTTGCAAGTTTCAACATAAACATACATATATACGTGAACCAAAAGATAAACATCATTGATTTTCTTCTTTTTATATTTAGTTCTATAGATTTTTTATCCAATTAATCAAATATTATAGAGCGCTAATTCATTATTAGGGATGAAAAGTAAAGTATTTTACCACTATGAGATTTCGGATATGTAGAATTTAACTGTTTGATGAGTTCATTGAAAGAGAATACAGTTATTAAAAGCAAAGAATTGTAAAGGGGTATATTTTGTCCAGATATTAATTAATTTAGTTAAAATCATCTTGAAGGTTAAAGCGATTATACATAATCTCAGTGATTTATAAATGTTTATTATTTGATGTATGTAAAAATTGAAGTTGAGCTTAAGTTAATCAGTAATTAGGATTCTTAGATGGCGGTTAGAGAAGATTTAATTATGTCTGCAAATCTTTCATCCTTTCAATGATATCGTATTTCTCAATGGTTAATTAATCTTTTCAGTTTTTGATAAAATCTAATACTTTTCATATCAATTGAAGAATAATAATGAATCGTGATTGGTACTTTGCTTTCAATATTAATAATCATCCAATCTAATTGTTTTAATGTTTTTATATTTTAAATTATTTCTAAGATTAACTTTAATTTTTAAATATATTCTTGATGTATCTTTTTTCTTATCTTTTGTTATAAAAAATATCTTTAATATTTATAAACTAATAGTACAAAAATTATTAATTATTTTGTTAAGACTAATTCCGTTAATTAATAGTAATAAATTAAGTAGATCTTTCATATAATATCCTAGATCTATTATAAAAGAATGAAAGTTTTATGAAATCTCGATATTTATTCACAACATTAGACTGACCATCTATTATAATAATATTAAAATAAATGTGGTATATATATATAACAGAAATGGAATAAAACTTTGAAAATTAAGAACTTAGAAGTGAAGAAGAATAGAATCTGATAAAGTAATAAAGAATGAAATTATTAGATATTGATTGTAATTATAATTGTTGTTTGATAATCATCAAAATCACTTATTCTATAAATCTTCTAAAAAGCAACTTCCTTTAGATTTTAATAAAGGTTTCAAATCTTTCCCCTAATGGTTTATAAATTCTCCTTACAATATAAG